TATATGTATATTTTTTACAATATATTTTATAAAATATACATACTTTAAAATTATTCTTCATTTATAAAAAAATAAATGAACAATTTTTTTCATTCGCGCAGTTTATTGAGTCAAAATTTATTAATAACTTATTAGTAGAAACTAGAGACAGATTGATTTTGTATAATAACAATTATAATGATATTATTTACTGATCTTTTTTTGAAAATAGAAAATGTAGTTTAATATTAATTAATGTAAAATATTCTATGTAAAAAAACTGTAAAATATTCTATGAATTGAATTTTCGTTTATTTGTAATACATTACAATTAAATTTATACTTTGAAAACTCTACGAAATTTTTAATTATAAGTATGATCAATGAATATATTACAATTTTTATAATATACGTATAATCCATATATACCGTAAAGTTTTGGCCAATCACTTTTGTATATAGATAGATAGAACTGACTAAACTGAATTGAAAAGTTCTCTACCATGTTGCAATTTTCGCAATGATTAACGAAATATTAATTACTAAAAATCACTAAATATTGGTTTTCAATAATTTTTCACTCAAATATCAACTTTTTACAGAAAAATAGCAAAAGATAAAAATTGTTTGTATTCCTCTCATAAAGTTCTGAGAATTTTTTCAGAATTTTTTAATACCGTATTTTCTCATATTGGTAAAAATAAAATGTATACTAAAAAGTTGATGAAAAATTCTGAATAGTTCACATAGTGACATTATGTCACATTGTGATATTTATAAAAAGTAAGATATATTTACCTTTGGCCATCGAAACGACTGCATCTTTGATAGCATCCGTAAGGCATTCTAGTAGGTTCGGGTCCGATTTTTTACAAGTCTTAAAATTGCTGGCTGTAAAGTAGAAAAAGAGAGAAAACTATCATGGATAAGTTATTATGTAACTGACTGCATTGCTGCAGATCCAATAAACCTGTGTGCTCACTCGATCTTTAAATGGTTGTTAGCTTTCTCTTTAAACCTATACGTATGTCAATTTCGGTCAACAGTGTATAGTTTAATTCAATTTAATAAAAAGCAATTGGTTGTGTGCAAATGAATCTAATTTTAATGTGATATTATTGAATGGTCCAGCACACAATTGTTTTGGTTAAAAATGCACCACACAATAAAAAATATTTTGTGTTTGTGTTAAAACCGGTCCTTGTCATTTTTGTATTGATTTTTTAACATATCCGAATTTCAATTTATCGCAATATGATTATATTTATTATTTAACATATTGTGTGTGTGTGTGTGTTTTTATAATTGTTCACTTATTTATAAATTGTGTTAACGTTAAGAAATATCAAATTGATATTCAACATTTCTTAACATTAACACAATTTATGAATAAGTGAACAATTATAAAAATAACATAAATAATTTTATTTTAAAACAGAAATTCTAAGATAAAAGTATTAATTTAAATATTAATATTAAATAT